ATTGATTGTCAATCTCACTTAATGTACCCATTTACAGTGAGATCGCCATTGTTAGGTATGCGGCAGAGAGCCTTGTCCCCTAAAGATCCACGTATGCATGCGTCGACCAACACCTATGATTGACATCGTCCTAATTACATATGCTCAAATGCGTCAAGTTTCACATAGACTTAGGCGTATACACCAGTATACAATTAGCGATTGCACACCATAGTGCTTTTGTTAGACGTACTGCCATGCTACAAGTCTTGGGTCGACCTGGTGCGAGCGCTTGTGACCTCATAAGTCATATCATTATAGATAGTGCAATGTCGTGACAAGGAAATACTTGTCATACTCAGGGAGTGAATTACCCCAAGGTGCTTTTATTGTATTGAGCACTTACGTTGCATTTTTTATATGTACATATCTCTCTGTACCGTACAATATTATTCAACATTTCTGTATTTGCTTGTACTTGCTGATTCCTTTATAGTCGAGCAAGCGAGGGCGCTGGAATTCAAACGTTTGGGGTGGATGTGGCAGTGTATGCCCCGTTAGTTGGAAACCCGCTATTAGACCCGTTATTTTGAGACAACCGCTATTAGTACGAAAACCATGTTTGGCGCCCAACGCGAGGTCGCGCGGTGTGTAGCTCGCGCGGTGTGTAGCACTGGATCGGAATATGGAAATCAGGTATCCCTTTCAACCCACCCGGACGGTCGCTATACGGCCGGCTTCTCTCGCGCATAGGCATAGGGAGGAATTAATAAAATACCACGATGTGCGCTTTAGTTAGAAATTCAATAATTTATTTCTCGGGAACCCTAGCGTATTAAGTTATAAATTATATCTAGTTAGAAAGGGGATTTTATTCACTATACCTTAGCATATTTACAAGTCTCCATCGTTGGAGGATATTTGAACATTGAGTCATTAAAGGGGTTTTCACCTTCATCTATAGTGGTCCCCACCCCTTCTAGTTAAAATATCTCAAAAACCATTTAACTCATAGAAATATAAAATAGCATCTTAGAGAGCTGAGACACACACTACTACATATATTAAAATGGTAAAATCCAAAATATTCCTTAGATCAAGGGTCTCAAACTCAAATCATCAGGGGGGCCGCAGGAGGTAGTGTCTGAATGAGAGTGGACCGCATCAAGTAATCCACAAAAAAATGATTATAACTGTTACAATCTGGTCAACCTTTATAAATAACAAAAAAATCATTAAGGGTTCTCAAGAACTAGGATTCACTTTCACCCACCTACTCACTGTTTCATACAAAAATATATAGAAACATTTTTTTTAAAAAAATCATAATTAGACTAGTCGGTGAGATTCGACTGAAACCGTCGCGGAGAGTCACGTTATAGATATGAGAATGGGGGAAACGGGCCGGCGCATTTACACTAAACTATTCTGTCATGTAGCGGGCCGCAAAATATCGTCTTGCGGGTCACAAATGGCTCGCGGGCCGCGAGTTTGAGACCCCTATATTAGATGTTTATTTATTAATATTCACGATTATCTAATTTTTTATAAAAAGAATGTAAATATTTATACTTTCCCACATCATTTTCGATGTATGCAGAATGTATGCGGGAACGAATTTGAAAATATCTTAATATTTCATTTTCGGTTTCGGCTTCGGTTGAAATTCATTGTTAACTTTCGGCCTTTTTTCGGTTTCGGCCGAAAGTCATTTTTAAACTTTCGGTATTTTTTCGGTTTCGGCCGAAAGTCATTTTAAACTTTCGGCCTATTTTCGGCTTCGGCCGAAATCAGAAAATCACTTTCGGTCGGTCTCTACTCAACACATCAGGGCTGGCCCTAAAAATTGCGGGGCCCTATGCGAAACGGATTGCGCGGGGCTCAGTCTGTGTAGGGATAAGGATAATAAGTGAAAATTAATATTTTGTATTAGAAAAAAAGTGCGGGGCCCACTGCGGCCGCATAGGTTGCAGTTGCCTAAGGCCGGCCCTGCAACACATTCTCTTCCCTTAGGGCAGTTTTCAGATTTAAGGGATGGTTTCCTTTGTACTAGCCACAACGTTGTCTACGCGATTGTTTGCACCCTCTGCCAGATTCAGATGGCGTTACTAGATGAGACAGGACGCTGCCTCTCTGACAGATGTACTGAACACCTCCGTCATATTGCGCACGATAAGCAGTGTCCCATCTCAAAATTCTCCAACAGAAGCGACTACAAGGGTTCAGGCGATTTTGCCATCACCACCATTGTGTATTGTACAAACACACCAAACCTGGTGAATTTGGAAAACAAACTACCCATATTTCAATCAGCCAGACTTATGGAACCTTGACATCACCTGGCATGAATGTCATGTTCGCATTCACTTGTTTAACCTTTTCTTGCCCCCCCCCCCCTCTTCGTTACGACCAATAGCAGTGGACGTAATTTTCCTCATTCCGTCTCATTTTGCCTTCATTTAATCGCTCACCTACTAATGTTCTGTCATATTCCTCTTGCCCTCCTCTCGGTTACCACATTGCCGCTAAGTGTAAATTTTTATATCGTTCTTACTGTTTGCTCGCTAAAGAAGGCTTGTTTTGTTGCGTCCTTTTTTCAGGTTTTCCCTTACTTTGTTTCGCTCATTTCCTTTTACCTAACCTGATTGCAGTCTCTCCCTCCTTATAACCATAAATAAATACAATAATATGGACATCAGACTTACTACTACTTGCATTCAAATAATTAAACTCTGTGGTCTGTGGTCTGATCCCAAACTAAACCTACTAAAACGTAACAGTCTACATGGCTGCTGTGCTCCTTATTCTATTCTATGCGAAAACCATGCCAGAAATCTATACTTAGTCTTGGATTACCTGGAACCACCTTCTTACAACGGGCCTAAAAAAGCTCCTCAAAATCAAAAGACAAGACAAGGTCCCAGACACGGAGCTCCTCGCTCAGGCAGGTTTCCTCACATCTATATTACCGGTACTGTTATTGTTCGTCTTGTGCACGCAACGATGACCAAGACTTTAACTTGAGTAGTAACCCTGACTTAAGCTGTTAATTTGTTAACCTTGAATGGCAACCATCTAAAAGAAGGTACACTCTGAATTCAAACCTGGACAAGAAGTCCAGTAGGCGGTATGAGATTGACTCAATGAAAATTTCGGCAACACCTGCGACATGGAACGAATAATAAAGAACACAGCGAGACATAAGAAATTACTGGTCAACCAATGCATCCTAGCCACTATCCTAGTTGTCTTTACCAAGTCTTGCCGTTTGATAAAAATAGACAAGGACGAGAGGGTGAGGCTGATGGAATGTGCAACTCTCTCACTTAAAACAAAATGCAGAGCAAATCAAGGCTACTACTCAAGTGGAATAAAAACCTTGGGCATCTTCGCATGCTAATGACAAACAATAATAATAATAACATGAATAATTATATACGAAAACTTATTCTATTTCTTTTTAATAAGCTGGTTTCTTTTGATAGTGATCAAAACTTTTTTTTTTTTTTTTATTTGTGAATTTAATAAGTTTTCTATGTCTGGTATGTCAATAAATTTACTTTTTTTTTAATGAAAAAATTTTAACCAACTTTCCCTTAGTCCTAAAGAGCTGAAATTTGGTACATGACATACATAATCTATTGTTTTCAAGGAGCCCTACTCTTTTAAGCTTTTTCCCAATGTTGTTTTTTAAATGTAATATGTTTTGTAATTATTAATTTTTATGTGAAGCGCAGTGAGCCTAGCCTAGCCCGGGGTACTGCACTATACTGTATACAACCACCTTAATAATAATACTACTACTACCCAGTAGCATGGCTAAACCTCAAGCTGCCAGAGGATGGGGATTTTCTTTTTATAGACAGAACCCTGTAACCAAAACATTAAAAAAATCATACTGCAACTACATCATACCAACAACCACCATAGATAATTTTACATCCCGATAACCTCTAGAGAAGTCTTGATTTGAATCCTCAACATTATATTGGTCAACTCAAAACCATTCACTTGGAAAGCAATAACTATGACTTGGTCCTGTAGTTCAGTGGTCCCCAACCCCCGGACCAGTACCGGTCCGTGGATCAAATGGTACCGGGGTGCCAAAAAAAAACCATTATATTATTTAATATTATTTACTGTGGTGTTTTTCTTGTACACAGAAATAAGATGGTTACCCAGAGGAAAATCGCTAACCAGAGTGCCGTATTTGAATGACCAGAGCCATTGCAAAGATTTCTCTCGGAAAAGACGTCACCGCTGGCAGCACATTTCAGTGACAAGGTATGGATCACAAAACTGGCTTACCAATGTGAGATATTCAGCCTGCTCAGTGAACTCAGTCTGTCCCTTTGGGGGAAAATGACAACTGTTTTCAGTAGTTGCGTTAAAGCCAAACTGGAGTTGTGGGGACGGCGCGTGAACAGAGGCATTGTGGACACAGCGGGGACTTCAGGCGTGACTGAGCATTCATTCTCTCAGTTGTTGCACGATCAACTGTCTTTGCTTTTAAAAGCGTTCGAGCGCTACTTTCCAACCACTTAAGACCCACAACCTGGTAAGGAATGAAGCAGCGACCTATTTGTCAACCAATCAGGCGAATCCAGCATGTCTTTACAAGCAGAAGCTCAATTGGTGGAGATTGCAAATGACGGCGGTCTTAAAACAACGTTCGAGACAACAACTCTGCCGGTGTTCTGGATTACAGACATGTCAGAATACCCTGACATTGCCAGCACAGCACTTAGATCCCTATTGCCATTTCGGACATCCTAGTTGCGGGAAGCGGTGTTCTCTGCAATGAGTCTCATATTAGCCCAAGATGGAACCGTCTCGTTGCAGAGAAACAAGCTCATGGTTCCCATTGATTTAGTGTTCTAGCGAGTTCAAATGTTAAATCACTTACTTTATTTTAATTTTTTGGTGCAACTGTATTTTATTTTGAAGGCATGTTTAAATAATACAATTAAATTCAAATTATTAAATCAAAACAATCTTAACTATAATCAATCCACAACCCCCCCCCAGCGTGCAGCGGTAAAACTATCAAACGTTGACAGGTCCCCGGCAAAAAAAGGGTTCGGGACCACTGCTGTAGTGGATTCTGATGAAATGATTGACAATGGACTTGCTTATCTTGTCTTACCTTCTATTTGTCTTGTTCGCTGAAGAAGGCTCTAAGCCGAAACATTCACATCTTTTGATTCAAGCTTCAACACACCTTGTTTTACTATTCCATTCACATAGCTTGAATGCAGTCCTTCAATTATTATCTACTTGCTTATCAAGTAGATTAATATGTTCAGTCAATATTTTTTTCATATTATGATGGAAGTTTTTTGTGATTATTAAACAAATTAAACTATCATCTACACTTGCATCTATCTATGCTTCAAGACATGGTGGTGTAGCTGTAACGACCCATCTGCACCTGTTTTAGTGGTTTTAGAGTTGACTCTAGAGTAGTGGCAGTTCTTGCAGCACTTTCCACAAATTAATGTAGGAACATAAGATTTCTTTTTTTTTATGGGGAAAAATTAGTTTCAGTTTTAGTTTATTTATTGCATCGATGTAACAAAGCTCTGAAGACAATGTGGCCTTCATTGCATTGTGAAAAGGGTTGATTGTTCAATGATACAAACCATTATTATATTCTAAGGTTTAATGAATATAAGTGTTTTTCATGTACCGGTACATTTGTCTTTCACATAATGTAATATTAAAAATGTACAGTTCATTTGTTATAATTCAGTAAGAACCAATTGTTAAATGGGAGAATGCAGTAAATATGATAATAAACATGGAAAAGTCTGATCTAATAAATAAAGAGATGATATTTCATTGGCCAAACTAAATATAAGCAATCTGGACTTAAAAGGCTTATATTTAACTGAGCTGTAAAAATTATTACTAAATTTTATTGCAAAATTTTGGCAATAAGGTAGTGTTTTATTTTTTAAAAACATATTATAATTTGGGGTTCTAACCTAACATAATAAAAAATATAACAATGTCCCATCTATGTTGGTGTGTGACTTAGTTCATTTGCACTTTTTTGGTCTCCAGTCGAATATACATGCCATTGAGGGGAAATCGTTAAGAGAAATAGTAAAAAAAAAAACAATAATAAAAAGGTGCATAAACAAATTTTTGTTTCTTAAAATAATAAATTCAACATTTTACAAATTGGGTATTAAAAAGGGATGCGGCTATTCGGACCGGTTGAGAGTTTGGGTTTATTAAAAAATATTTTAAAATTATTGTAGGGTTGTAAGACTAAATTTGGTATCAAACGAAAGATAATTGAATGGACTTTATATTTGTTAACTTACTTCTTCATTTTAACTAAAATAAAATACCACAAATGACATCCCAATAGAATTAGCCAAAATGGAACAGGAAACCCATCGCCGCTATTCGGACCCGAGTCCCATTAGACTCAAGCTATTCGGATGTCATTTGTGGTAGTTTATTTTAGTTAAACTGAAGAAGTAAGTTTACAAACATATAGTCCATTCAATTATCTTTCATTTGATACCAAATTTAGTCTTACAACCTAACAATAATATTTTATTTTAAATTTTAATCACAACCTCTCACTTTGCGGACCAGGGTCCGAATAGCCACTTCGATTAAAAAGATGTGTGCAGTATTTGAAAAAAAAAAAGACATCCATTTGAAAAAATATGTAGTTTACATGAAAAATAATTTTTTAACTTTATAAAATGTCGATATAAACTGACAGAAATTTTGTATTATAATGACTTCAATTAAAACCAAATCTGAATGATCAGTAGCAATGGTGTTTTGTTTATACTTTTGTATGGTGTCCAGGTGCTAAATTTATTTTTTAATATTTTTGTATGCCTCTATCTGAACAAACCCTAATGTAGGAAAATGACATCTCTGTTGTATAATATATTTTTTAATGGGGAGACACTTGAGCCTAATAATATTAAACACTGCGTTAACAACTTTGACACTCCATTGTGTAGCTGAATGAATTGACAACAAAACTTTGATGTCATCCTGATGTAGTTTGTTACGTGGTCTAGTACTATTTTTACAACTACATCTCTTCTTCTTCTTCTTTATTTTGAAGGCCCAAGATCAATGAATTGATCATTCTGGCTCCTATCTCTGATCACTTGACGAAATTTATGACGTGTATATCTCATATATATCTAAACAAATTATTTGCCAACATTCATCTGTCAGTTTCTGCCAATGATGACTTTTAGCTATACACTATTAATAATTGAGCATGGAGAACCTCATCCAACTCTCATATGTGGACAACTTTATTTCCATATTAAATTGTTTCTCTGACTAGCAGAAAGAGGATATTAACATATAAAGAAAATGTGTATTTATGTAAGTAAAGGACTAACAAAAAACTCCACTTGAGGTGGTTCACAAGCAAGCATTATTTTATATAACACCGATACAGTTGCTAAGTTTTTCTGTCATTACTACTCTATATACATGAATGTGATCAGTTAGAGGAAGCTTTATGAAACCAGCTATACAGATATAATCTTAATATAATAATCTTAAACCCTGTATAATCTTAAAAACTCACACACAAATAAAAGTGAAGTCACAGTGTCAGGGGATAATAATGCTACAATTCTTTATATTATATAGAAAAAAGGAAAAATACTTCACACTTTACATATAGTATCTAAATGAGAAGGGTAATGCTGTGACACTTCATTTTAAGCAAGCAAAAATCTGCAATTATATGAGCATAAAAGCTAAATGCATTTTCCCCTCTAAAACGATGATCAACTTCCTCCAAATTGAAGTTAAAGGCATTGAAGAAGTACTCAGAAGGAGTTGCAGACAGATCTGGGTACAACAGCTACATTTACAGCAGGACTTCATATACATGTGGATTATAAAAACTGCACTCTACAGCATGAGAGGACATAAGACTAAAAAACCTGACCTTTTAAGCCCAAAACATCTTAGGATTGCTGTTGAAATACAAAGTATACTTAGTCAACCATATAGTGAATATTCACTGTTACGTGATAATTGGGAATCATTAAATAAGAGAGTGTTATTAGCTATGTCAAGTAAATGCATGGTTCTACAATATTATTCCATGTGAATGGTGCTGGGATATGTAATAAGTAGAAATGTGGGAGATCTTGTTTTAAGAAGAAAAAAATACAGATTTTTTAAACTTTAGTGCTTAAGTGAGCTATGTAGTGTTGAAGTTGGAATAATTTTAGTGGATTTTTAATTGTGTTGTACCGTCGCAAAAGTATATCATTTTTTAAAACAATTTTTTCAATATCCGTTTTTATCAGTAGTTTGAAAAAAAAAAAAATTCATGTGAAAATGAATTTATAAATATTTGGAAGCCATGCCGCACCTGTATAAGATTAGAGTTTGTGTGTAGCGGGGTTACAGGGTATCTTTAACTAATATATGTGTCTCCTGTATGTCACAGTGTTTTTATTTAATTTTTTAATTTGGAAAAAAAATAAGGTGAAGTGGCTACACTGTCAAAAATGTATAAATGAAGTACAAAATGCTGATAAAATTATCTTATGCGAATGCTTTTAATGCATAAGATTGTAAAAATATAAAAACTTTTCTGATAGACATAAACTTACAATAATCTTACTAAAAATGATGAGCTAAAAATTAAATAAACCCTTTTAAAAATCCAGCAACAAGAGATCTGGGGTAACAAATGTTCTTAGTTAACTAATAAAAATATCTTATCCTATTTGCTTTTGAAATTTTATTATGCAGTGTTCCTTCCTTCATTGCCGACGCCATCTTTTTCCAATACAAAATAATTTGACTCGACTTGTCTGTCATCCTTTTTTGTTCTTCTCGCAGGAACAGGTCCCAGGGGAATATCCTCAGGTTTGGGGGCATCTTCCAAGGGAATAGACAAACGAGATGCTTCTATTGTCTCGTATCCATTATTTTCCGCCTTGGGCACACCTGCATCTTTGTTTGGGCTGGGAAGTGGATTAAAATATCCATTGTCAATATCCTCAGCAGTAGGCGAGTCCTTTTCACATTCACTGTACCGAGGTGGAGATCCGTAACCAGGATTACTGGCTTGTCCAGGTACTGGTGGTTTAGGTCTGGAGAAAAACATATTTCAGTTTAGACAAATATATGATAAATTATGCTTCTGAAAAATATATATTGTTATTCACCATTGATGCATTATTTACTGCCAAGAAAATGTCATGTCTTGTTATTTTTAAGGTTGCTACAATTTTAGTATTAAAATAAAAGCTAGTATAAAGTAATTTTTAATAACAATGCCTGAATTGATAGAAAATGTGAAGTAAATAGTTAGGGGAAAGGAAGAACATTTTATATAAATATGAAAACTGTCAAAGATTATGTGAAATAGTTTTTAAACCAGTGTTAAAGCTGATAAAATCTGTACATAAAAATTTCTGTACACTATGATTTCTCCGTGTTAGGTACCATTATATGGTTTCAGATTAGGCTTGTTTGATGAGCAATATGTAACAAGCACTGAAAACCAGTACTAGTATACTAAGAATATAAACAATTACAAAATCAAATTTACAGAAATAACTACTTAATAAACTTACAGCAAGTAAAAAAGTATAATAACGGTACAAATATTAAGCTACCCACATAGTGAAAAATCTAAGTCTTGTAGGACTCCTGTAAGTCTAATAAATTTCTGCTGGTCACAGTCCACTATCTATTTATAGTGAGGGAGTCAGAACCCTCCACAACAGAAGGTCTAGAAATTCAGTAGCCCCTTCTGTAAACATAAACAAACTATCACATCAAGGGCAGTGGTTGAAAAGAGTGGCAGAGTTAATTGGTGACATTAAAAACAAAGGGGGAGGTAAGGTTGCCTGCCATGGCTCGTGATGAACAAAAACTAGGTCAACACACAGGCTATAACATTGAAAATATGAATCCACGAAGCAGAATGAATTGAAGCAACCCAATTCCCAGTTTGTAATTAGTATAACCCATCAACAGGTATTATATATTGGAAACTTAACTTTTAAGCCATTACCTGTATTTCATTCCTGCTGTAACTGGCTCTAAATAAGTTGGATCATCCTGTTGACCATAGGTAGGTGATGAAATATACCGGTTTGGCAAGGATGGTGGGTTGTTAGCCGGAGATGGGCAGTAGCCCTATGTATATCAAATAGCATGAAATACAATATTGTACATCTTAAGAATAATATTTTAATATTAAAGCAGAAAAAAGTGCTGTGATTTTATAGTTACTTAGCATATTTAACATAATTCTTGTCTTATATTTCTGAACTGATAAAATATCGCATAACACTGTGGTGGCCATGGTCTGCAATGTGTTAAATCTCACTAGGCTTAGATTTAACACGTCTCCAAGTGTAATTCACAAATGTATTGAATTTTATGTTTTCAAAGTAATGATATTCTATTATTTGTCTTTGAACAAAATGTTTTCACTCACCCTAGCATCAAAGATTTCCTGATACACTGGAGTATCTGAGTTGGGTGCTGGCATGTAGATGACGTTAGGACCACGTTTTTTCAAACTGAAAAAGTCACAGTATATTATTTATGTCTTGTTGTGATACACTCTAAGGTAAGTCAAGTGACAGGAACATTTTTATTGTCATATATTCCCGAATATAGGTCTCACCTGCATTATATAGGTCGCACCTGCAGTATATAGGTTGCACCATTAATTTGTGGAGTTACATGGCCCTTTTAAATGTAAATGTAACCGATAATTGTTAAACAGACATGATAAATATGTATCTGTAACAACTGACAAGCAGTAGTCAAACTATGTGATTATAATGAACATTTAAAAACATTAAAATTATATAAATGACTACTTCACACTGAATGAGAGAAAGCGAAATAGTGGACAGGTCACACCCCTGATTTTTTTCAAAACTTTTGGTTTTAAAAAAAGTGTGACCTATATTATTTATGCGAGTATATACAGTAACCACCTTTTTTCTTAGAAATTATGACTTGACCAAATTCTGAATGTAAAATTATTGACATTTTTTTTTCAGAGACACTGACTGCAAGACAGTGCTGTCCAACCTTTTTGACTCAGTGGGTCAAAATAAAAAAAATTCTGCAAAGCTGTGAGCCGTACATGACATCTCAAGAGAATTATTTTTTTATTTTGTTAGACAATCATTCACATTATTAATGTTTCTTTCCATATGCATAAAAAATCATATATGCAACAACACTATAGCCTCATCAAGAATATAAATAAAGTGAATAAAAACAATTGCAATAATTTAATGATAAATTTGGCTTTGATTTGTACTTTGTTTCTTAATTTGAGGTAGTTTTCAGTAGCACTTGCCTCATTAGATTTTCTAAACGTTCACCAGTCAAAGCGTTATATTTTCTGGACTCATTAATGTTAGTCCTTAAAAAGAATCCAGTTTCACTTAATTAGGTGCTTCCAAAACAATGTCAATTTTTTTTAAACAGTTTTATAGTTGTGGAATTCATCAGATGAAACGTATGTCATCCAGAATTAATTTTACCACACTTTCTTAGATTTGTTTATTAAAAAAATGTTCAAGAATCATTCCCACTGTCTCTCACAATTCTTAACTGAATGAATTGCACTAACTAAAACAGCGTGTATCCTGCTTTCTACTCATTGAACGTCTCATATTCCAATCTCATACTCCAATCTCATATTCCAATCTCATACTCCAATCTCTGAATACCAGATAATTGTCCCCAACATTACAAAATTACAGGATGGACACATACTTTCCCATACTTGGCTAGACCACCTGTTATGAATCATGGCACCATAAAATGGTCCACACTGCCCACTGTAGTGATTGTGACACCTTTAGTACCACAACTCCTATTATGATTACTCTGACCTCAAGACCTTCCTATGTTATTATTATGATCATCATAAAAAGCGAAGTCATTAACTTTCATCTAAATTGGCCTTATTGGTGGAGGCCACGACACTTTTACGATGACCAAGTAGCTACACTAGTACACATAAAGCTACTTTTGGTTTCCAAATTCCCAATGCCTTTAGTAATTATACCCGATATCCATCGATGTTTCCCCTGTACAAGCAGTAGAAAGAAGGAGATGACATTATTAAATTTCATGTCACCCCACGTTCCTGAATGGTTGTTCAGCTAATGTGTTAAACATAAATTACAACTAACTGTGGCCCCACTCCTTAGATTTTGTGAACTCCCTCTTATACATGTTGCAACTTCTCCTCTGCTTTCATGTGATTTCCCAAAAATGTCATTCAAAAATATTTTCACCATGAAATTTTACTTTTTTTACACACATAAAAAGTTCTTAAGCTGTTGTGGGCCATTTAAAATGGGTTCGCGATACGCAGATTGGAACGCACTGCAGTAGGAGGTAAAATCACCTGACCGTGGCATGTGGGAAATGATAGAAGTTTCATAACAATTTCGGGTGAGGGTTTCCAGAATATTCAATCAGTAGAAGTAGTTAGTTTAAGGTGAAGATTGGGGGGGGGGGAATCTCAGAGTGTTTTTAATATCCGGGCTAATCATCATATTTTAATGTCCAGCTTACTTGAGTCTGTTCAGTGTTCATGGACTAGAAAATTAGACTCTATAAGGAAAATTGCAACTTATTTGGTAAGTAAACTAAGACAATGAGAAGTCTAAAGCAGTAATACCAAAAGTGGATTCTGAAAAGTTTTACATAAAGTAAGAAAGCTTTTCAAAGGAAAAATATGTAGGCTGTTACCTGTTACTGTTAAGATGATTACTGCAGGTAGTCGAGATTGCTTTGTTTTTGTGAGTTATCTTATGACAAAATCCATTTAACTTATATCTATATTGATTGTATTACCATATAGTACCACATATAATAAGATAAAGTTAGGTTAAAAATGCAATCTAAAGTCAAGGGTTCACTTTATAAATACACATGTCTGTAAGTGTAAGCAAGTTTTCATTAATTGATATTAGGCCTACTAATGCTTAAGCAACCAAATCTTCGGTACTTCACCCATTGGCATTCGGCAAATGAGTGTGCATCATATCTGTGCATAAAGTCAATAATATAAGCAGTATTCCTTGAAATTGAAAGGATATTTGCATAGTTGAATTGGTATGATCAAAGTTCAATTTTAATATTTTGATAATTGGACATACTTATTTTAAAATAATTATTTCTTTCATAAATTTGTTATGTATAATTAATGTTACGAAACAAGATGCAGATTGCATTATATGTGGACATGGCATTTTAGGGATTTTTTCAAACAAAAATTTAGGGGTTCGCATCAAGTTATATGCTGTAATATACAGTAAATACTATGACATGACTTGCTGTTCGTTACACTTTTTGAAAAAAATTGTGCCAGTGTCATAATCTAGATCACTTCAGAAAACATTTGTGACAATTGCAATATATTAATAAAAGAGTTAACAATGTTTACACCTCAGACAAAATTAAAATAAACATTTTAACATTAGATTTTGAGTCATATAACGTTATATTTATTTTTAAAAAACAGTACCTTTTTTTATGCTTCCGTCTATAGCATAAAAACAGGAGAGAAAACACAATGATCAAAAATATTAAAATGCCAACTCCAGATCCAATCCAGACTCCTGTTGAAATCTCAGATTCATCACCACCTGCATCAGCTGAAAGAAATCAAAGGGAGATTCAGTTTTGTGTTTTTGAGTTGAGGTTTATTAGCAATAGGCAATAGAAATTGATACTGAATTTACTGGTAGAATAAACAAAGTGGTTGTTATTGTTACTATTTATTAGGTGATCAGTATTATTTATTTTGAAATGAGAAATTACTAACATTTTAACCGTGTATTTTCTAGAAACTTTTACATATTTCTAAAAATTTCAATGCTGAAAAAAAGTCCCCTTAATGTTTTAATTGCATGTGAACTTTTTAAAGTATTCTAGAATATATAGTTTAAAATGTTAGTAATTTCTCATTTCAAAATAAAAATAATGATCACCTAATAAAAAATAGTAACCATCACTTTGTTAAATGTTTAAATTGCGTGTCAAAATTAAGAATATATTGACATATATAGCTTGTTTAAGAAATTAACAACAAAATCATGGACAGATGTTAACTTTCTAAAACACAGCTGCCAACAAAACTCAGAATCATACTTACAAGTGGTATCTGTAGCTAAACTTTTGCAGGAGCATCTCATTATCTTGATTTGTTCGTTGAAGAAATCCTCTACCCTCTTGTGAACCAATGGACCAGTATTATTGCATATTTGTTTCCGTCTGTATGCCAACCTTTTTTTTTAAAAAAAGTAGTTTCTTAAATATAAATATACCAGGTGGAACATATGTTTCACTAGACAAACTTATTTGTTTTTACTTTATCAGACTATTTTAGAACAAAACCTAAATGTATGATGTCAGTCAAATGAACTAACTAATTACAATTGTTTCATTGTTTTCCCAATGTCATGTTTGCATTAATAGCACATCAATTTCAGTGGTCTCAAAAGAAGAATATTTGACCATACAGCCATACAGGGTGTTTTGTACTATCTCAGACCTGTTTGCCCTCAAACTCTTAAAATCGTACAATATCATCACAAAATCGTTCAATACATTTTCTTAATAGTAAAAAATAAACATACAATATATTTATTGTGTAAACACCTCAAAATCGTACATTGTAAGCCAAAATTGTAAGAGTAAACAGGTCTATCTAGAAAAAAAAAAACTTTTTCCCCCCAATGCAGTGAACCCCTAATGCTTCCCCAATATAAGTGCCACCCACTCCCTCTTCTGTCTGCTAGTGCTCTTATATCCTTATGGTTGTAATAAATATTTACATGTCAATTTGTTCGGGGTAGTCATTCACAATTTTATTGTTATATTTTCATTGAAGTATATACATTTTGTGAAAAGTTGATCCATCATCATTTTTTAAGAGACATAAAAAACTATCAGATACATTTTGAAATAATCAGTCATATGTCACACATCTGGTGTACACTATCCACTTTGAAACTGAGAAATCTTTGCACAGATTTTGTATCATGAACTGCTGCAAAATACATTTTTTTCAAATATTTTTTAATTATTATTAAAGTAAAACATTGTAGTTTTATTTTCAAAATTTTTGTTCATAGTATTGCCTTAATTTATGGCTTTTACAAGTTAAGTTGGTCCCTTACTATAAAATGTTATCACTATAGTTGACATGCATGCAAATAAATCAAAATATCATCTGATTGAGAAACAAAATAATTGCCTGAAATTTGCAAAAATACAAACTCTGAAATAAATCAAAGTCATTTGAAGTAGAGCAACAAAAGTTACTTACTTACAAAGCTGTTCAACACGTGGACTTTCTTGATCCGAATAGTTGTTTTCAAGGCATCGTTTGACATTTTTCCAGTCTCTATTAGACAATATTTGATCTGCTACATGATGTTCTATGTCTCTGTTTATTTCCTCACGATCTTCGATTTGGCATTTCCCTCTCAATGTTGTGTAATTGCCACCCTCTGGCTTGTAAATTAGGCTGGGGGAAAAAATAAAACATGTATAATCAAATTCAAGTCCCTAAATTTATCAATGTTATTGTTAATATTTCATCACCCCAACCAACATTAAAAAAAATGAAAGGACTGAAAATCAACATTCAAAATTTTTATTGTCCTTAAAATAAGATTTATGAGCAACATTTTGTTTTATAGATACTTGTAGATAAACATGTATTATTAATTTGAAACTTTTTAAGGCTAAAAATATCAAAATAGTTCCAATTCATCCTCCTACTAACTAGAAGTAATTGATATTGATTAAAATAGAGTATTAAGAATATTTTTTAGATAAAAAAAAAATAAAAACAACCTACCCACAAGTCTTATTGAGACTTATGTTCTCTCCTTGGAGTACTACAAAACTACTCTCCTCGGTTAAAAGTTTGTCTAGGCATTCTGTGAGATTTGAACATTTTGCTCTTAAGCTGTCCAGGTTGCTAGTAATATATTCTTTATATGTGGCTGTAAAGTGATGATTAGTAACAGACAAATTATTCATTATGTCCTTACAATGTAAATATTTAAATTATATATATTTTTTTCCGCCTTATATTTTTATGTTTGACAGCAATGTTAATCAAGAACTATATGAAAAAATTCTCCTTTAACAATAGTTAAAAAATATGGTGTCAGTAGCAAGTAATTTTTATGTCTCAAAGGAGCATCACTGGGTTTGAAATTCCCCCCCCCCCCCCCCCCCCAGTAATTTCTGGCTTGCACAGGTGAAGGCAATGTGTTTATGATACTGATAAGTTAGTTGCAGCTCACTGCTAAAAACTGCATTCTTATTTTGTTGGGTCAAGGGAGTGGGGGTGGAGCTAGAAATATGTAAGTAACTCATATTCACTCCTAGGGTTGGTAGCAATGCTATTAATTAATTTGTTGTAATAATTATGCAGTGTAAATCACAAACCTGTATGAATAATAAATCTCAAACCACTTCACTAAACCAACAGTAGAGTAACAATTGTGGTCATTGTCAGCAAGAAACCTGTTGAGTGGCTTATTGACAGATGTATGAACTACTGGAATGCTTAAGAGCCTTTCTTCTAAAAAATTATAATTTCAGTTGTTGGTTGTTAGGCTGTAACTTATCAGCTAACATTTTGAGCAGAATCATGGTTTGTGCTAAGATGGGCCAGTACTTCAAAATAAAGAAATGTTTCCTCCTAACCAGTAATACAGTACAGAGCAGGCACTGCATTCAACCCATGGGAAAGAAATATCAAGAACGTATTTTGACAGCTTGAATGAAAATTCAAGAATATATGTCTTATTGAGCTAATGACTTCATTCCAGCTATTTGACCATAGCAGCAGACATCCTAGCTATTTGACCATAGCACCTGGTACCACTTGGTTGTGAGTTAGACAATGCTAACACTTTGTCACAGGACCTTCACATGGTTTAAGACTGAGGAAAAGCCTAACGAGGATGGTGGAAACACTTTAAACCCTTTCAAGTTATAGTTAATACTAACAGAAGATGAACATTATTTTTAGCTATGTGATAATACAGATGTTTTTACATAAATGCACTTTGAAAAAAAAAAATTTTTTAAAATGATATTTTACTCTTGAAAAGATCAATTAGTTTTACATGATATAACAGTGGATTTCTGAGAGAAACAAAAAATAAAACTCATTACTTATTTTCTAATATCACAAAGCTCAAACTCTGTTACAACTTTTAAGTGAGCTCATCTGCAGTGATTTCATCCTCCACTCATGACCTGTGTTTTCCTGAATTCAATGTAAAGCCTGTGAAAATTGAGCATCACATAGCTTCTACTGGTCTTTTCTTTGGCATTTTGTCAGTTGCTGGATAGCAATTCTAAAATTCTATGTCATCAAAATAGTCAGGTCCACAAACACTGAGGTCAGCATCCAATGAGTTGTTTTTCACATGAGCTCATCAAAGACAAGTGAGAACAGAATGGTTGGGAGAATAAAACTCACCTTCAATCAATCTTAGACAATGAAAGGTTCAGCCATTGTTAAAAACTCTATTCATACAAGGTGGTCATAGAGTGATTGTCTACTGACCAGTATTTGGAGAATACAAGGTGGGCATAGAGTGAATGATTATTGACCAGTATTTGGAGAATACCATAGTTGTGAGAATTTTCCAAAGTGACACTCACTGAAGGTTGTCAAAAACTATCTTAAAAAGTGAGAGCTATTTTAGAATTATGGTAAATAAGAGATACGTTCATCATTTCTACTGGTTTATTGACTCTAAACTCAGGATATACATCATCTTATCGGGTCCAAGTAGGATAGACTGAGTAAATGAGGCAAGTAGGATAGACTGCGGCAAGCAGGACAAACATTGTCTTAACTTACATATTTAAATTCCACCTGTAGAAATAAAACTAAGACTCTCAGGATATTTTGCATTGCCCATTTGATACTGAGACACTCACATGATACCTCACATTTCTATTTGATACTGAGACACTCACATGATACCTCAAATTGCCCATATGATACTGAGACACTTACATGATACCTCACATTGCCCAGCATTTGTGTTTTGACTTTTTGGCATTGTTTCAGTCAGTTCTTGCAACTGGTGCAATTTTTCTCAGAATGTTTTCGTCTGTGCCTATGTCATGTGACCCTGGGAAACAACAACAAAATTAGTCAGTTTTTTAAATTTAATTTAATGTGTGTCTATGACTATTATCAATGAACTATTTAATTATGAGACCCTGGTCTTTTTAGAATTAGTATTAGTATGCTATTTTCCAACTTACCAGACACTTAAATACTTAAAATAGCAAAAGTAGTATGTTATTTGTTAGTGTAAGTGTAAGGAAGAGCCAACACGTACGTCCATATACAATAATTTCAATTAAAAATTGACAATATGTACCTTTAGTAATAATAGTTTACACTCCAAAAATAAATAGCTAAATAGCTACTAGTAAGACTAGTAGTAAGTATTAGTAGGCATATAAAAACTATGATTGTTAGTAGTCTACGTAAAATACAAGCAATTCAATGATTTCATCAATGAATGAATCAGTCTGTCTGTCAGATAAACAATATTATTAGTTATAAAACACATTTAATCACACAAGATTTAAAATAAACACTCCAGTTTTAAGGACACCATATTACTTTAAAATTAAGATGTGTGTTTTTATCATGAAAGGAGTGCCGAATTCCGCTTCAAAACAACACCCTAACAATTTGACAACACACTAGTGTCACTCCTCCGCCATGACAGTTTGGGAGTGTTTGTTACCTGTGCCGTGTCCTCTATACTAATTCGTAAGCTATTTGACAAGGTGTTAGCGCGCTTTGACTCCTATTTTGCCTAGAGGAATTACGCCGCGTCTCATATTTTACAGTCCCAAACTTGCAATCTTTAATTACTTTTTATACAGTTAATAAAGGGATGATTTAATAATTAACGTCACTTGTTTTTTACGCTGTTAATATAAATTTTAAATTTACAAAATTACAACAATGTCAAATGTCGGATAACATGACATTGACACAATGAAACATTCCAACAACTCTTACTGGTGCCAAGTGTATCATCCGCATAATGTTCCCTTGGGTTATCCAGCGGGGTGGGGAGAGGCGATTTGCTGTTTTCGGAACCAGCTTATAATCCGAAAAAGAATAATCCCAGGTGTGGGTTTCGTCCTGCGAAGTCCACACCATCGTCACATTGTGACGGACGGATGCCAGTAAAAAATGTCATACCGTCATGTTTTAGATTTTTAGTTTAGGCGACTTCATTAGTCGTGGTAATTGGTGGGTAAAGCATAAACTTCACTGTTAGTGTCATCTCGGATACGGAATTATATTTTCAATACTGCCATCCCAGTGTGGTAATATATTATATAAGACATGCATCAAGTATTTAAACGTCAAATTCCTCATAGGCAATTAATTTATTGGGCTGAGGCAGGGGTGGACTGGGCCGCCGGGACACCGGGAAGATTCTCGATGGGCCGCTAGGACCGGTGATATAATAAAAATAAAAGTCTTGAAGATAGGGCCGCTTTTTGTTTTTTTTTCCCGGGCCGCTTGAACTCCCCAGCCCACCCCTGGGCTGAGGTATGTTTTCTTGTTGCATATAATTATATTAACTGGAATCCACGCTAACGGACGACCCATTTGTGTAAGTGTGTGATGGGGGGGGGGGGGGGGGGGTGGATGTGCTTTGTTGCTATAAGGAGCTGGTTGTTTTCAGTGGCTCCAGCGTGGGTGGGGGTGACTAGTGTGAGGCTGGTTAATCCCAGTCCTGGCTTTGTTTACAGTCGAAACCGGAGATGAGTGAGAATGTGTCGCCAAAAAAACTACCCGCCACGAATCAGCTTTGACAATTCGGCCCAACAAATCAGCCCTTACAAAAGGGCCACCGAAAAAAGGGCCACCGACACTATGGCCCCCGACACTATGGCCGCCCCCGACACTATGGCCCCGACGATGTCAGGAAGGTCTCCGACAAAAGGGCTCCCGCCCAAAGGGCCACAGACCAAAGGGCCATTATAATAGCTGCATCTTCTAAAGCCGGGGTTGTCGAATTTTTTTTTTTTTTTACACCTACCTTACTGCAATTTGAAAGGAAGAAAATCATAGACTAATAAAAATCAACTTTTTAAAATTAAATCTATTTATAGAGAAATAACAATTATAAATAATAAAATAATAAGGGGTCGTCCATTAATTACGGCAACAATTTGAAGGCAATTTTTTACCCCCCCCCCGCCCCACCTTGTCAACAACGGGGCCGTCCATAAAGTACGGCACGCGCCAGAGGGGGGGGAGGGGGTGTAAGAAAGTGTGACAGTTTGACACAGGGGGGAGGGGGGTCCAGCCATGTGTGACGTCACACATTTTTTTATTTTTAAAATTTTTCTAATTAATTATTTATTTTTTTAGTGGAATTGAATAGCTTTAAAAATAATTTTCAAAAATTTTGTGTATCATTTGAATTAGTTTTATGTCAAAATAGCATGAAATGCGAATCTCCTGAATGTGTTGTTCACGATTCCTCTCGCCAGGAGCGCTAGTATGCTATTGCGAAACCTTGTTTTATGTATAGCCTTGCTTTCGTCTTTCCTGAAGTATTATTATTTCTATGTTGTCCGCTGCATAATTATGTCACTGTCCTTTTTATTATTTAATCACTGGGTGAGGTCAAGTTTCGCTAATGTACTTCTTAACCTGTGTAAAAAGATTGCATAATCGGAAGATTATCTAAAACTTGACCTCAACTATTGTAAATGAAAAAAAATAATGTGTTAAATGTCTAGTCTAATTTTTGCAATTTTTGTTTTCCAATTCAATCTAGATTGAGTTACTGCTTCAATGAATGACTGTGACAACTGTTGACAATTAACTATTCTACTGTTAAAGTCATTTTAATAATGTGATAGTTGAAATTAAGTGGAAATTTTATATTTTGGTACAGTTTAATAGTGAAGTGTGTTTTTATATTAAATTTATTAGGTGTTAATTTTTTTTAAAAAATTGTTCGAAAGTGTGACGTATTTTAGGGGGGAGTGGGGTCCGAGATTTGTGACAGTTTGTGACAGGGGGGGGGGGTAAAAATGGTCAAAAATAGCGGGACGTACTTGATGGATGGACCCAACTGTCAAACTTTCAACAACCCATCATATAATTACAAAAAAAAAAAAATAAAAAAATTAAAAAAAACAAAAAGGAATTATATTATAAATAAATTTATAAATACATTTTACTTTGTGTTGATCTATATTAATGACACAAATTGTAGGAAAAACAATTCATTATTTCTAATATCAAAATATCCGTACCACTAAGAAATAAAGCCTAATGATAATGTTTAATCTTTTTTGCTTGAAAATTAAGAAATATTAAAGGGCGTCCATTAATTACATCATCAATTTTAAGCAATTTTTGACCCCCCCCCCTATTAATTATGTCAACATTTTTTATGCCCCCCCCCACCAAAAAAAAAAAAAAGAATTATAAAATAAATAAATATATAAATACATTTTACTTTGTGCTGATCATTTTTAATGACAAAATTGTGGGAAAAACATTTTAGTACACATTTAGCTTGTTAATCAACAAGTTTTTACATTTAAATTTTATAATGCAGAATCAATTGAAAAGTTGTTGAAGACTAAATATCATTGTTTGTGGTATAAATATGATTATTGTCAGTAAAGCTGACAATGATAGTATAGTTTCTAGCTGCTATCACCTTCCCAAGAAGTAGCCAGGTTCGCTCTATGTAAAAAAGGGCATCAGGGACATCATTTGGGTAGGGCAGGGGGGCATTTGGCCCCACCCCCTTATTTGGAGGTTTTATTGAAATTGCTATGTACTGTACGCCTCCAGTAATAAACAACTTAACGAGCCGACCAAATTTTGGTTTTGCCCCCCCCCCCCCAGTAAAAAAGGGGATCAGGGACATCATTTGGGTAGGGGAGGGGGGCATTTGGCCCCACCCCCTTATTTGGAGGTTTTATTGAAATTGCTATGTACTGTACGCCTCCAGTAATAAACAACTTAACGAGCCGACCAAATTTTGGTTTTGCCCCCCCCCCCCCTGGAAAAAAATGAAATGAAGCCCCTGATGGGTATAGTCTATAGCAACTGATTGATCATTTTGCGGCACTGATATATTAGACAAGTCAAATCATCCTCATCTAACCCCATTCAGCACTTAAAATAGAAGCATTGTCGGTGTGAGCAATAATTGCCATAAACTCTCTACTGACAACTACTCGCATTGGTTAAATCCTTTTTTTTTTTTTTTGTTGAGTAGCAGGTGGTAATTTCTTCTGCTGAAGAGGGCATTGTCGGTGCTGTTGAACATGCTTTTTCAACATGACTTGTGATTCAAAATAGATGTTACATATTTTACAAATCCGTTCAAGCAGCGATGTTATTATTGTTACCCACTTTACTTTCTCCTAATTCTTAAAAGGCTGCGACTATTGGTACCCGGGTACCAGAAGTGAGAGGTTAGGATTAAAAAAAACTATTTAAAATATTATTGTTGGGTTTGTAAGACAAATTGAGGTATCAACTGAATGATAATTGAATGCACTAAGTGTCTGTAAGCTTACTTCTTCAGTTTAGCTAAAATAAACTACCACAAATGACATCCGAATAGCTTGAGTCTAATGGTACCTGGGTGCTAATGGTGGCGTTGCGTGTCTGGGTCCATTTTGACTCGGTGCTATTCGGATGTCATTTGTGGTAGTTTATTTTAGTTAAACTGAAGAATTAAGTTTACAAACATATAGTCTATTCAATTATCTTTCATTTGATACCTCATTTAATTCTTACATACCAAACGATAAAATTGTTAATAGTATTTTAATCCCAACCTCGCAATTCTGGTACCCGGGTACCAATAGCCACTTCGTTCTCAAAATATCGTATTCCTACTCGATCAATATCATTTATCTTGACTGCATATGACATTGGAACCTTGACCTTGTTCCATACCTGCAACAGAGTCTTCAGATGAAGAGAGGCCAACGTTTAACTTCTCTTTCACTAACAAAGTGTGCTAACATTCTGACCAGCCATCTGCAGTGTACAGACACACATTAAATACATCTTTTATTGTTAAAACTAAAAGCCTAAAAATTATATGACTGTTTACACTTATTTACACTTATAAATTAAAAAAAAAAATATATATAATGTAATAACCAGTCAATTTATGATTAAAATTTTAATAGAGAAAATGTGATTGTTTACGTCAACTAATCTAAACACCTTCCTCCCCCTTGTCAACAACTGTCAAACATTTCCAAACCCTCCCCCCCCCTATTTTGTTGACGTAATTAATGGACGCCCCCTAAATGGAAAAAAAACAACAACAAATTAATAAACTCCTTATTGTGGAACAAAATGATTTCTTTAGGAAAAAAAATATTCGCTTTAAATTTCGGAGCAATTATGCACTTTTATTCAATGATATCTGATAAGGGGAGTTTGAATCTGAACTTGTTAGCAAAGGTCAAAGGTCGTTACAAAAGGCAGCCACATTTTGAATGTCTCCTCGTGAGCCATTTGGAAAACACTAGCAACTCGTAACGTTCTGAGCACAAACAGTGGCGTCACTGGGGAATGGTGGTGAGGGCGGACGCACATGACACCCTCAAAGAGGGATACACCTTTACATGGGGATGACTCCCTCACAGGGGGATACAGTCTCACTACTGGGGGATGACACCAATAAATGAGATTATTGAATCTGACACGGCCTGAGCAAGTCTGTTTCATAATACATCTAATTTTGATGCAAGTGCAAGGTGCCACCTACCCCCAGAGTAGTGTACCATCAGAACAGGTTGCTATAAGAGCAGGGTGACACCCATCACCAGAGTAGTGTACCACCAGAACGGGTTGCTATAAGAGTAGCGTGACACCCATCACCAGATTAGTGTACCACCATAACAGGTTGCTATAAGAGTAGCGTGACACCCATCACCAGAGTAGTGTACCACCAGAACGGGTTGCTATAAGAGCAGGGTGACACCGATCACCAGAGTAGTGTACCACCAGAACGGGTTGCTATAAGAGCAGGGTGACACCCATCACCAGATTAGTGTACCACCAGAACGGGTTGCTATAAGAGCAGGGTGACACCCATCACCAGATAAGTATACCACCAGAACGGGTTGCTATAAGAGCAGGGTGACACCCATCACCAGATTAGTGTACCACCAGAACGGGTTGCTATAAGAGCAGGGTGACACCCATCACCAGAGTAGTGTACCACCAGAACGGGTTGCTATAAGAGTAGCGTGACACCCATCACCAGATTAGTGTACCACCAGAACGGGTTGCTATAAGAGCAGCGTGACACCCATCACCAGATTAGTGTACCACCAGAACGGGTTGCTATAAGAGCAGGGTGACACCGATCACCAGAGTAGGGTACCACCAGAACGGGTTGCTATAAGAGCAGCGTGACACCCATCACCAGATTAGTGTACCACCAGAACGGGTTGCTATAAGAGCAGCGTGACACCCATCACCAGATTAGTGTACCACCAGAACGGGTTGCTATCAGAGCAGGGTGACACCCATCACCAGAGTAGGGTACCACCAGAACGGGTTGCTATAAGAGCAGCGGGACACCCATCACCAGATTAGTGTACCACCAGAACGGGTTGCTATAAGAGCAGGGTGACACCCATCACCAGATTAGTGTACCATCAGAACGGGTTGCTATAAGAGCAGGGTGACACCCATCACCAGAGTAGGGTGCCCCCAGAACGGGTTGCTATAAGAGCAGGGTGACACCCATCACCAGAGGAGGGTACCACCAGAGCAGGTTGCTGTATAAGCAGGGTGACACCAAAGCACTCGGAGGAGGTCCATGGAGAAGTCTTGATGGGGTGACGCCATGATTTTACCAACTGGGTAGAGACAAATCTAGTAACGCTACTGAGCATGCGGTAAAATAGATGACTAGACAAAAATTGCGTTTAAAAGACGCGACGTAAAGGCTGGCTACCGAACCATTAGTAGCCACAAGTTATTGGATGCGTTAGCCCTATTGCCGCCATATGCTTTATTTGCAGAAGAAAAAAAAATTGTAAAATAAAAAAAAACACACTTCAAATATAATTTTATGTCTGTCTGTTGAGCCCACATTACCCCGAAGATGTTTATTTTCCCGCCATTTGGGTAATTTACCCCAGTTCGCCAACAACTTAACTATGTAATAGGGTCTCACACCATTGAGTGCAGGGGCTTGGGAAGGTTTATAATGTGTGTGCTGTTTACCTAATTTTTGTCCTAAAAAATTCATCAGTTTCGATTGACGTAATTCTTTGGCTATACAATTGTTTAGAAGAAATTACGATATGAAGTGGACTGGATTTAGATATTTTTTCAAGGGTTTCTTGCTGATTCCTGTTAAGTTATGTCAACGTTCGTGAAGTACGTCACACTCCTGGGGAGGGGCTGGGGTGTCGAAGAAAGTGGGACAGGTGGAAAGGTTTGTTGACCGTGGGCGCATGTTTGGATTCAGTCATGTTTTCTTCTTTTTTGTTTTTTTAAAGCTTGGGCCGTTTATTTTACAAAAACTCTCCCAAGTGACAGAGATGCTTACCATTTCTCTACCACCCCCCAGCCCCTTTCCCGCGCCTTCTCTCCACTAAGACTATGGTAGTCTTCCTCAACATTCTAATTCGCCAACATTTAAATTCAGAAATGCACGTTAGTTTATTGAAATGCCAACTTTTTTTACATAACGACGTGTCAGGTGATAGCTTCTAATTAAAATAGAAGAAGGGAGAGGGGTGCACAATCTCGGGCCACCCCGGGCCGCACTAACCCTCGCCCCGCCGCTGCGGGTTGCGCCTTGAAAATAAAGTGCGGCAAATGAGATTTGCGCAAGTCCCGGCATGTAGCGACACTTTGTGAGCAGCTCAAACTTTTCAAATAAAAGAAATGAAAACATAGATAGTGTACAAAAAAACTTAGTCCCTGGGATTTTCAAGTTCTTTGAAGAATTTCTCGTGAAACTATTTATTGACCGAACATTAACCAGGGATCCCTGATGAGAAATCTTAAAATCCACTCGGCCAGACTTGTTTTATCCGATATCCACAGTCCGTCTTGTTGTTCTATTTTCCTCGTTCTCCCCCCCCCCCCGTCTCTACTCCAACAATGACTGTTGATGTCGTCTCTCTGTTTTTAGGACATAAACAAAAATCTCACTTAGTCTCTTGTATTGTAGAAATCTTAAAATCCCCCCGGCCAGACTTGTTTTATCCGATATCCACAGTCCGTCTTGTTGTTCTATTTTCCTCGTTCCCCCCCCCCCCGTCTCTACTCCAACAATGACTGTTGATGTCGTCTCTCTGTTTTTAGGACATAAACAAAAATCTCACTTAGTCTCTTGTATTGTGGGGTTTTCAGGTTCACAATGTCAAGTCGTTGCTTCCTGCTCCTGGAGCGACCAATCCTTGGCTTCCCGAGGTTTAGCCTTGCCACTAAGAGGCTGTGAGTACATTTGATATCAGTTGGCCGCATCCCCCGCCCTCCCCCCCCCCACCGGGACTCCTGGCAGGGAGCACCAATTTTCCCAATGGTGATTTTTTATCGATCTGATCTGACTCTGTGTTCGTTCATCTGGTCGTATCCAAGTGTGCATCTGAATGTCCCTGTGGGAAACAAAGATCTTCCATTCATGAGCGTAAACAAGTGGGTGCTAAGTGGATATGGGCCCACGATCATTCTGGCTCCTATATTTCAGAGGGGTTCACGATGTTACTGTGCATGGTTTTCAAGGGACTACTTCACTGGTTGCAAGGGCTACTCAGCAGTGGTGTTATGAGCTGGGGGTTGGAATACAGGAAGCAACAGACACAAATGCGTCGAGTGTAGCCGCCTCAACTGTTGCTTTTGGAAGCTTGTTCCAGTCCCTTATTGTCTTTGGCAGGAATGAGGAGCTCCTGTACTGAGTTCTTGTTTTTATCAGCCGGCACTGCCAGTCGTGGCCTCTTCGCTGTCTAGGAGGAAGATGGACGAGTTTCTGTTTGATGCCGGAGCAGTGGACCAGCCCATTTTTTATCTTGTACAACATGGTGAGCCTGGATAGTCGTCGTCGCTCTTCCAATGTTAACCAGCCCAGTGTTTCTAGCATGCTGCCAACACTTGTGGTGTTTCTGTAGCGGTTCAGGACAAAGCGTGCTGCTCGTCGCTGAACAGCCTCCAACCTGTCGATGCTTTTCTGGGTAAATGGGTCCCAGACAGTAGAAGCGTACTCTAAAATAGGTCGGACAAAGGCTTTATAGGCTTTTTCTTTCACGCTTGAGTTTCCGATCTTCAGATTGCGCCTTAGGAACCCCAGGGTCTTGTTTGCCCGGTTGCACACACTGTTAATGTGCTCGTCCCAGCGGACCTCTCTTTGAATGGTAACACCCAAGTGCTTTACGGAGGAAACTTGCTCAAGAATATGGCCATGCAATTCGTAAGAGTGGTTTAGAGGGGATCTGCTTCTGAACACTGACAGGGTCTGGCACTTGACGGGATGAAATTCCATGTCACAGCTCATCTCACGCTCAGCTAACCGATTGAGGTCTTGTTGAAGCTATGGCTCTGGTCAGAACTGTTGACGATCGTCCTATATACCGCCGTGTCATCTGCGAACAGTCTTGCTTCAGAGGTCAGCTTCTCGGGCAGGTCATTGATATATGCTAGGAACAAACAGGGGCCTAGCACTGAGCCCTGGGGGACCCCTGACTTAACACCGACTAAGGAGGAGGTTTTGCCATCTACCACTACTGCCTGGCATCGGTCGCTGAGAAAGCTAAAGATCCATGTTTTTGTAGTGCCTTGAATCCCATATCTATGCAGTTTGTGCAATAGCAAGCTATGGTTGACACGGTCAAACGCTTTTGAAAAGTCCAGCACAAGCACATCAGCTTGCTTGCTGTTCTCCAAGTTGGTCGTCAATTCTTCAGCAAAGTCAAGGAGTTGGGTCTCGCATGATCTATTGACTCGAAAGCCATGCTGACAGTCATTGAGTATATTGTGTCTTTCCAGGTGATTCATGACCGCGCTAACGATTATGTGCTCCAATAGTTTACATACTACGCTAGTGAGAGATACAGGGCGGTAGTTGGCATGGTCGTAATGCTCTCCTTTTTTGTAGCTAGGAGTGACATGCGCTGTTCTCCAGTCAGTTGGAACGTTGCCTGTGAATAGCGACGATTGGAATAGGATTGTTATTGCAGGAGCGATTTCATTTGCCAATTCTTTTAGCACTCGTGGTTTGATGTTATACATATATAATTGTATACGATGATCGTATGTGTGTGTTTGGGGCGCACATTTTGGAGCTATATTTAGGCGGGATTTAATCAAGGCGCACCTTGACTGCTCCGATTACAGACAAATAAATTTTCTTCATAGATGCTGATTTCTCTACTGCTGGTTATGTTTCATAGCCAATGGTTCTCAACTTGTGGGTCGTGACTAGGGTTTCTCAAGTGGTACCCCGCACGATATTTAGTATTTAAAAAAGACTTCCCGGGAAAGCCTCCCATCCCGAGAAGAGATATCCGGTACAAAATTTTTTTAAAAAATTCAGCAAGTCACAGATTGTCACAAATTGGTCACAGATTGTCACAAATGGTCACTAACTCCAGGACCTGTAAAATCTAGTTGACTGCGCTGAATGATTAAACTCGGTAGCTCTGTATAGTACACAGGTTCTCAAGCGGTCGCAATTCACGAGCGCATTGATATAGATGCACAGTGACCCGTGCCCGCGTTGCCCGACTGTTATTATAAACTAAATCATAATTCTTAAGCTCAATATTGTGAATACGGGAAGGAGATTTAAAATGTTCTAGTTTAAAAAGTTCTAGCTTAAAATGTTCTAGTTAAAATGTGCTACTTAATTTTTTATCAAAATGATTTTAACGATTGTTTACTGTGTAATGAAAACCCATGTAACATGTCGTGTATTTATGTGGAACAAATCAAATCATCTTATATTATATAAATGGATTTTTACTTTCATTAAGAAATATATTCTTTACGTTTCAAACGGTTTAAATGTATGTGTATATTTAAAATTTAGTCTTAAATTGAAAAAAAAAACAACAGACTTTTGCAAGTTGATGATGGGGTGCAATACTTGCCCATGAAAGCATGGGGTGCAATACTTGCCCATGAAAACATGGGGTGCAATATTTGCCCATGAAATCATGTGGTGCAATATTTGCCTATGAAAGCATGGGGTGCATTACTTGCCTATGAAATCATGGAGTGCAATATTTTCACATGAAAACATGGGGTGCAATATTTGTCTATGAAAGGATGGGGTGCTCGGAACCCCGCTGTAGTAAGTCACAGCCTTAAGTTTCTACAATAATAGTTGTTAAAGCTACGCTACATAATAGGCACAAAAAAGCAAAGGAAAAGATGAGAGAAATTATATTGATTTTTCCTGTTCATAATATTATCCCGTGAGTCGTTAAATGTGTGCAAAGCTTGATAGGATGAAATCATTGATTCTTACCTTACAATAAAACCCGCCAGTTCCAGTCTAAACACAAATCTATGATCAGGAGCCCGCCTGTTCCAGTCTAAACACAAACATAGAGTACATTGACATTAGCTCTTGTCACCTAGTTCAACTGTACCAGCGCACATCCAGCCATGACATGGGGATAGAGGATGGTCACAACATGACCCCCAGTTTATCGCAGGTTGATGAGAAACTGTTTACACATGCTACAAGACTTGCTTGTTGTACTTAAGCTGATCGTCAATATGAATACGCCGTTAAGTGGTCACTGTGCCCACCACGCATCTCAAGTACTCAAACCCTTAATAAATGATACTCTTTATGAGTCAGTCATAAAAACCCCAAAGTTTCACTGCTCAGAGGTCAAGAGACATCTCTCTGTTCCGTGATGTAGAAAAAAGAGGTGGTGTTGGGGGGGGGGAGGGTGTGTGTCTGGGGGGGGGGCGTATCTGAAGGGTAGGTAATGTTCTTTTTTTTAATTTTAAATTGTGTGTTGTCATTTTCAAGGGATTTGTGTGTGGGGGAGTGTGTGGGTGTATGTTTGTGTGTGTGGAAAAAACCCCAAAGTTTCACTGCTCAGAGGTCAAGAGACATCTCTCTGTTCCGTGATGTAGAAAAAAGAGGTGGTGTTGGGGGGGGGAGGGTGTGTGTCTGGGGGGGGGGCGTATCTGAAGGGTAGGTAATGTTCTTTTTTTTAATTTTAAATTGAGTGTTGTCATTTTCAAGGGATTTGTGTGTGTGTGAGTGTGTGTGTGTATGTGTGTGTGTGTGGAAAAGGGCGGCAAAAATCTTGGCCCGCTCCGGACGGCTCTGACCCAACTGTCTCAACGATCTTGACGTTATGCTATAAATATGCCTTGAGATCTTGATAATGTTCAAACTCAGTTATATTTCTAACTCCAAGTGCCAGGATTTAGCCTGGTTAATTTATTCTATTTGGAATCCACACGTACTAAATCGTATTTTCTCAACAAAGAGCTGCACTGAGTCTGTCGAAAACATGCGTTTTTCGATATCTAAACTTTTGTTGTTTCTTGTTTTGTCTTGTCTGCTGAAGAAGACATGCCGCCGAAAAGTCCCTTTAATTGTCCTGTCTTTTCTTTTTCATGAATATCTTATTCCACGTGTTATTTACTGTCATTCAACGTGTAGTGATAAAAGTGAGATACTTTCTTACATTATTTTTTTAGATTAATGTTTGTTTGGTATATAAATTTAAACTTGCCCGTTCCCAGTGGCTGACGGGATTGGGCAGCAGTATGTTTGACATGTTTAATGTAAACAACTAGACGTCACTGTCTTTGTTAGACTGACATCCGGTGGTGGTGGTGCTGATAGAGTAGTTGTGGTACTCTAATGGTGTTGGTGGTTCTGATAAGGTGGTGGTAATGCTGATGGGTAGTGTTGCTGATAAGGTAGTGGTGGTACTGATAGGGTAGTGTTGCTGATAGGGTAGTTGTGCTGATAGGGTAGTGGTGGTGCTGATATGGTAGTGGTGGTACTGATAGGGTAGTGTTGCTGATAGGGTAGTTGTGCTGATAGGGTAGTGGTGGTGCTGATATGGTAGTGGTGGTACTGATAGGGTAGTGTTGCTGATAGGGTAGTTGTGCTGATATGGTAGTGGTGGTGCTGATAGGGTAGTGGTGGTACTGATAGAATGAAATAATACGTATGTTAGTTTGTCGACTGCATTCACGACTAATTTAGCACATGGACAGACACCATATGTTATTGAGACAAGTACTACAGCCCGTCCCTACATTGACGCCATATGTTATTGAGACAAGTACTACAGCCCGTCCCTACATTGACACCATATGTTATTGAGACAAGTACTACAGCCCGTCCCTACATTGACACCATATGTTATTGAGACAAGTACTACAGCCCGTCCCTACATTGACACCATATGTTATTGAGACAAGTACTACAGCCCGTCCCTACATTAACACCATATGTTATTGAGACAAGTACTACAGCCCGTCCCTACATACTACATTGATACCTGTATGTTATTGAGACAAGTACTACAGCCCGTCCCTACTTACTACATTGACATCATATGTTATTTGAGACAAGTACTACAGCCCGTCCCTACATACTACATTGACACCATATGTTATTGAGACAAGTACTACAACCCGTCCCAACATTGACACCATATGTTATTGAGACATTTACTACCGCCCAAATCTCATATTGAGCCAACTACAGCCTAACCCCCTACTGAGGCAACTAATAACTAGAGACCAACCGAAAGTGATTTTCTGATTTCGGCCAAAGCCGAAAATAGACCGAAAGATTAAAATGACTTTCGGCCGAAACCGAAAAAAGGCCGAAAGTTTAAAAATGACTTTCGGCCGAAACCGAAAAAAGGCCGAAAGTTAAAAATGAATTTCGGCCGAAACCGAAGCCGAAACCGAAGCCGTAACCGAAGCCGAAACCGAAAATGAAATATTAAGATATTTTGAAATTCGTTCCCGCATACATTCTGCATACATCGAAAATGATGTGGGAAAGTATAAATATTTACATTCTTTTTTATAAAAAATGAGATAATCATGAATAAATAAACTTCTAATATAGGGGTCTCAAACTCGCGGCCCGCAAACTCATTTGTGACCCGCAAGACGATATTTTGCGGCCCGCTACATGAGAGAAAAGTTTAGTGTTAATGCGCCGGCCCGTTTCCCCCATTCTCATATCTCTAACGTGACTCTCCGCGACGGTTTCAGACGAATCTCACCGACTAGTCTAATTCTGATTTTTAAAATTTTTTTTTAATGTTTCTATATATTTTTGTATACAACAGTGAGTAGGTGGATGAAAGTGAATCCTAGTTCTTGAGAACCCTTAATGATTTTATTGTTATTTATAAAGGTTGAGCAGATTGTAACAGTTGTAATCACAAAAATGAGATAATCGTGAATATTAATAAATAAACTTCTAATATAGAGGTCTCAAACTCGCGGCCCGCAAACTCATTTGTGACCCGCAAGACGATATTTTGTGGCCCGCTACATGACAGAAAAGTTTACGCCGGCCCGTTTCCCCCATTCTCATATCTATAACGTGACTCTCCGCGACGGTTTCAGTCGAATCTTACGACTAGTCTAATTCTGATTTTTTTTTTTTTAATGTTTCTATATATTTTTGTATGCAACAGTGAGTAGGTTGATGAAAGTGAATCCTAGTTCTTGAGAACCCTTAATGATTTTATTGTTATTTATAAAGGTTGAGCAGATTGTAACAGTTGTAATCGCTTTTTGTGGATTTCTTGATGCGGCCCAGGCTCATTCAGACACTACCTCCTGCGGCCCCCCCTGATAATTTGAGTTTGAGACCCTTGATCTAATGAATACTTTGGATTTTACCAATTTAATATAAAAGTAATTTAAATTGCTTTACAATTTTTTTAGATTAGTATGGTAAGAGAAAATTTGGCCAAAAAAATGGGGGGGGGGGGCAAATTAATGAAAAATACTATTTTTTTTAAAACCGGGTCTCTAAAAATTGTTGTTCTGATATGGTTCTAAAAGATCGCTTAATTGGTTCTGAAAGGTCGCTTTATTTGTTTTTAAAGATGGTTTAGTTTTTTGTTAAAGATCGTTAGTTGCTTGCTATTGATCGGTTAGTTTGTTCTTAAAGATCGTGAGTTTGTTCTTAAAGATCGCTTAGTTTTTTGTTAAAGTTCGTCCAGTTTTTGTTAATGATCGCTTTATTTTACTTAAAGATTGGTTAGTTTGTTCATAAAGATCGCCTAGTTTGTTGTTAAAGATCCTTTAGTTTTTTCTTAAAGATCGCTTAGTTTGTTGTTAAAGATCGTCCAGTTTTTGTTAATGATCGCTTTATTTGTTCTTAAAGATCGTTTAGTTAGTTCATAAAAATTGCTTAGTTTGTTCATAAAGATCCCATAGTTTGTTGTTAAAGATAATTGATTTTTTCCTTAAGATCAATTCGTTTGTTCTTAAAGATCTTTTAGTTTGTTCCTAAAGAGTATTTAGTTTTCTGTTAAAGATCGCTTAGTTTATTCTTATAAATCATTTAGTTTACTATTAAAGATCATTTGTTTTGTTCTTAAAGATAATTTAGTTCGGTCTTAAAAATCGTTTAGTTTGTTTTTAAAGATCGCTTAGATGTTCTTAAAGATCGCTTAGTTTGTTGTTAAATATCGCTTTCACTGAGTATTAGATGACCTAAAACCTGACTCACTTTCGGCCTAATGGCCTAATGGCCGAAAGTCTAAGTCAATTTCGGCCGAAACCGAAGAAAAACCGAAAGTTAACTTTTCTCTTTCGGCCGATACCGAAATTAAGCCGAAAGTTAACTTTTCAGTTTCGGCCGAAACCGAAACTTGGCCGAAAGTGATAAAAATGGCCACTTTCGGCACCGAAACCGAAGCCGAAACCGAAATTCGGTTGGCCTCTAATGTCAATTATATGAAAAAATTGTGGCACCATTGGAAAGTTGTACAGCATATGTTTCAGCAACGTTTCAGTAATACCTATCTCTTAGATTTCAAACGGCCGGTGTGACGAATCTTTGCAACTAAGACTAAGTGATGCATAGCTAAAAGTTAACTTTAACTTTGGTGGAGCATGCGTCTCCAAACACATAATAATTGATGGACTGCATTCAAGTTGTGTAAATGAAATATAAGAACAGAGAGCAACATAAAGGTGCTCTCTGTTCTTATATGTGCTGCAATCACGACACTTATTTCTTGCAAAAACACTCCAAAGAGAGTTAAAATGAAAATATGTTCAGCTTTTCGGCACCATATCTCCACACGGTATGAATTAAATACTCTCCTAAAAATGTCTCTCAATTCCCCATTATTTCTTCTTTCCTCTTTCCTTAAATTTTAAGAATCCCTAAATATCTTGGTCCCTTAAGACTCTGTACCCTATTTTTCACAGTAACAATATTTATTTTCTTTCACTTCCTGTAATCCTAATTCCGGCAACTACATAAGAGGCCACCACAGTTTTTTTTTTACTGTGCTTTGTTACTTGTTCTGTGTTACGCACTGACTTGTATTGGGAGAAATTAATCTCCTATTTTAATTTTAATTGGCTCGTTGTAAAAAGTGCCTAACAAAGGACGATACCATATAATCAACAATATTAAGGATACGACCCAAAACAGTTTCTAGTTACAATTAATTAAGATTTATTATGTCTTAAGATAATTACAAAATAAAATAAAATAAAATTACAATCTTCAACTTACAGTATGGCAGATG